TCACTGCATTATTTTTCCTCTGAGTGTGTCCAGGACCACAGTAACTGATTTTCTCAAGATGTGGGCATGTGATTTTACCTGTAACTGTTGGTATCCAACATTTCTAGAGAAGAAAAATGCTGAGATTTTTAATAGGATAGTTGCAGTGTATTTTACTGAGGAAGGTGATGTGGTGCTTCTTTGGAGTATGGTAACGTTTCTTTTCTCAGTAGGATAGAGGTGTTCAAGATTGGATTGCATCTAATGAAAATAGATGAATTCCTGAGGGGCGGGCTGCAAGACTGCTTTCAAGATCTTTTAGCACCCTGTAGTAACTGAAAGATCTATTTAATCTGGCTTTGGTTTATGTGTTTTACAAATGTAAGCTGCTAGAGGAGTAAGAATCGTTAGCCAAACTTTGTTAATGTGTTTACTAGAGGGTGCGTATGAAGTCTCAGAGATGATGCTGTCCTCAGGTTCTGAACTCATGTTCACTCACTCTGTTCTCATGAGATTAGGTTCCCCTGGTTAACTCATGAGTAGCAACTCTTGGAATTTTTGTTGTCATTCCATTCAGTACAAAGCTGTACAGTCAGACTGCCTTCTCCTCTTACAGATTGGATTTGTAAGTTTGTGCCCGAAAATCATCTTCAGGGAGAAGAGAGTACGAGGGAGCTCTCAGCTTTTCTGTGGTGCATCTCGTCTGCTAGGGCTGGGGGGAAGCCTGAAGTAGATAATGATTGCATACAGCACCATTTTTGTATTTAAATGTCAACATTAATCCAAAAAAAAGTGTATGGACATTGTTGAATTATGTCTTGAAACTATATTTTGAGAAAAAATTCCATCTAAGCTTTGCATGTACCAAAGAAAGAAGTTAGGCTAACCTGGTGGTCTAATGGAACTCTTGTAGTTTAATGATGAGCAAAAGCAAGGCAGATATGTTGTGGAGCAACTTTCCAGATAATTTTGGCGTATTCAATCCTACTTTTTCTTGAGATTTACATAAAAATAAATCTGCACTATCTTTTTAAGGATACTACTCAGGATGCTAGTGAGTTTGGTATGCAGACTTAATTTATAGAAGCTGTATATATGTGCCAACAGATTGGCACCTTATCCTTTCACTCCTCCTTGCAACTCAGATATTTTATTATTATTATTATTTTTATTTTTAAATCAGCATAGCTGAAGAGCCAGAGAGGATGGAAGTATTAACACATTTAGCATTTAGAAGCGAGTGTCTGTGTATAGCACGAATACTTGCTGCTTTTTTTTTTTTTTTGTAGACAGAAAACTATTTTAGCTAAGAGTATTAATTCCAGTATTTTATTATTCCTGTTTCTAGGACTCAGATAGGCTTTTTATTAGCTTTTCGCTCCGTCCTTCAAGAGAATGAAAACTAAGATGCTCTCATGGTTTCTAAACCCTTTATTGGCCAGGGTTAGCCCTATGGTGAGACCTTCCTCTGTTTAATTAATTAAGTGCAAGCATCATTAAATGACCCCTTGTATCTTCCATCCCTTAACCAGTTCTTTCTGATGGCTTTCATTGTTCCTGCTAATTTTCCTGTTCCCATGGAATGCTCTATAACAACCAAACTTGTCCTTGTAGGTCAGGTTTAAAATTCTGCTTTCTGTAACAGCTTAAAGATGTAAAGCTTGGGGTGCAGCACCGTTTTCATCGTGTGTCTGAGGTGTGGGCAGCGCTGTGCTGCAGAAATGCCAAAGTCATCAACGCTTTACTGCTACCTCTCTCCGTGGAATCTTTGCTCAGTATTTTATTTTCATTGCTGCTTTCAGTGAATATTTAGTGAGCTCTGATTACATAATTGAATTTGATAAACTGATGGTATTTGATTGATGAGAAAATCAGGAATAAAAGACCAGAAGATAAAATTACGGCAAGGGTTTAAGTAAATCTTCCAGAGAGCTAGGGTAATTTATCAGGCGTGCTATATTCTTTATAAAAATATTCCCATAGGTCTATTAAATTTTAGTTTCTACCAGAATTGAATTGAATTTTGAGAATCATTTTCAGGTAATACCAGCTTGATTGTGATATTTGAAATGGGAGATAGCTCTGAGTGGGTTGCAGCATCACCGAGTTTGGAATATTTGGGCAGGAAATGTAGGGCTGAGTGGCAGACTTGTGGGCAGCACTCTTTGTCTTTCAAATAAATCATTTGTTCTTGGAAAGACATAAGTTAGAAGGAGTAAGTGGATAATTCAGAATGAAATAATGAAGGAGGTTATGCTACTTGAGTCTTTAAATCACTGAAAAACAGGATCAACAAATTACTCGACTAGAGGTTTATAGTGCAGAAACCAGTTTCATTCTAATCTCTCTGAATGGCTCAACTTTCTTCCAGAAGGAATGGTTTAACAAGCTCATTTCATGAGCCTTTATATACTAGCAGGTAAATAGCCTTGTTTTCAGGGAACTTGGCACTAATAGTTTCAATTTTCCAATTGGACTCTGTACTGTAGGACTCACAGGGACTCCTGTTCCCCTAAATGCCAGCACATCTCCCTGCCACTGCCTTTTCATCTCCAGGGGAAGCCTGACACCTTTAATCTTGCAAGGGTAGAATGTCTGTCTCGTCACTCCTTTGGGAGACTCTCAAAAATATATGAAAAGCCGCTGAAAAGGTTTAACATTTACTCACTTCTTTAGAAATATCTTTGTAAAAAATTGCTTTTTGCTCTGTGTTTCACACTAACATTTTCTCTTTATAAAGTTTTAAAATATTGGTTGATTTCAGTAGTCAGGGTAAAGTGAGAATTAAGATAAAACTTCTTCATGATATTGAGAAGATATATTTTTCTTGTTACTAAAACAAGAAAAAAAGAGACTTTGCAGAATATAATCTCAGTCATGTAACAGACTGAAGTGCACAAAACATCTTTGGTTTGCCTGCGACTATCTGCCAGTTTGGAACTGTTCCTATTTTCTCAAATGTTGAATTGCCGTAGCTTCCTGTATATCCAGTTTAAAGAAAATATCACTGATCTGCAATAGCCATTGATTATTGAAATGCTACAAATCAGAAAAGGACCTCACCTCAAAATTAATTTTTTAGTTCAGTTTGTTAGGTCAGATTTTGTTTAATAGTTTGTAAGTATTGCTTTAAGAAGGTGTGCTTTTTTCTGCAGAAATAACTGTATCTTTCTGAATTTAAGTTCTAAAAACTAGTGAGACAATTTAGCAATACAAATCATCAAACGTGGATGCAGCTGATGTTCAGCGTTATTGCCAATTGTGGCTAATAATTTGGCGACAGCCAACCTGTGACTCCTTGACCACCCTCAGCTGAAGCGCAGCTGCTGCCCCGAGATGGTGTGATTAGGCTGGTAATGAGCCTGTGCTGCCATGTGGTCTGCTAAGGAATAAAAATTCCCTGATGAGAGGCAAAGTGAAAGATAAGGGCTTAGAGGGGTTGTCATCACCAGGCTGAGCCATGTACCTGCTGCTGTCCCAGTCTGTGCTGGAACACTGTGGCACCTTGAAAGCTCCTGTGACCCCTTCCTTGAGCTCCCTCTTCCCTAATGTGTGTGTTTGCTGTCTCGTGGCTATCAACTGTTAAAGACTGTAGTATGTGACCTGTGGATTCAAAAATTTCAGCCACCCTTAAATAGTAGATGAGTTCGCTTCCCCGTAAGCTGTAAAAGATAGCTTAAACTCTTTAAATAGCAGGTATAAGAATACTTGAGCTTAATCTAAAATAAGTTTTAAAAGAAAGATTAGCAATTTAACTGAATGGTTTGTTACTCAGGGACAACATTTGTGTGTCTTTTTATTGTTTTATTTAGTTAATATCATAGAATCATAGAATGGTTTGGGTTGGAAGGGACCTCCAAGATCATCTAGTTCCAACCCCCCTGCCATGGGCAGGGACACCCTCCACTACACCAGGTTGCTCAAAGCCTCATCCAACCTGGCCTTGAACACTTCCTGGGATGGGACATCCACAACTTCTCTGGGGGAAGACAGTTTATATATAGTGTGTATATAAAATAGATACACACACACAAACACTCTGCACTCCTAAAAAGCAAAGTGCAGTAACATCTACCTATTAAATATTATTCCATATTTTGTATTAAATCTCTGACCTTGAATGTAACTTGTGTAGTTTTTATAAATACATAAACATGTTAATTTTGATTAGAGAAGGTATTTGTAAACATCTAAGATTAGGTCTGTAGTTCCTACATAATTACAAGTAAAAATTTGACGTGTAAGGAGTGAAAATCTTTATCTTCCAACGGCGAGAAGGTGGGGGTGGGGAGTCTCCAAGCAGTGTAGACTTGTAATAAATCTGTGTTTGAATGGAGCTTTGGCAATTTACCAGTCAAGAATTTTGCTGCTTGGAGAATTTTGAGAATTTGTGGTCCATGGGAGAACAAGAGTTTGAGACTACATGTGACCCTTGAACGTTATTGAAGTACCTAAATTAAAAATGGGTTAGTGGTTTCAGGTAATATAATTTAACACATTTTGGTTGGCAATAACATTGAAAAACACATTAATCTTGTGATTTTGTGAAGTGTTTTTTTTTTTAAACTTTTTTCCTATCAAAATTCTTCATTTATCCTGACACTTGTCCTGCTGTGATAATAATTTCCATCCAAGATTACTCTTCTAGTTTCCATTCAAGAAGTAAAAAAAAAAAGCTTTGAGTGGATTTAATCCTCATGGTGGGGGGGAGGAGGAAGCCAACAGGGCTGTTCACTGCCTGCCACAGCAGACAATGCTGAAATTCTCATGTATAAACAGTAAACATGGACGAAAGCTTATCTGAGTGGGTGCTTCTCGCCTAAATAAGTATCAAGGAGGAAGGTTATCAAGGTCTTGTGAATTCTGCCTCTGAAGATAATGATTAGTTATGAATATAACTACTGGATCACATTGTCTCTTGTTTTACGATGGCCATTTTGAGAAGGAATAAGCTAAATATCAGTGGCTTGTACTATACCTGCTTAAGTAGCTTAGAAACCCATTTTCTCTCTGTATTTCAGATGATGTTGCACCATACTTCAAGACTGAACCAGGCTTGCCCCAGATCCACTTGGAAGGAAATCGACTCGTACTTACATGTCTTGCTGAGGGCAGCTGGCCCTTGGAATTTAAGTGGTTACACAATGACAGTGAAATAACCACCTACTCCAGTGAATATAAGTAAGTAAAAGCTATATAATAGCCTTCTCTAAGTGTAATTGAAAAAAAAAACCCACAAAACGAGCACCCCTCCCCAAAAATCCCCAATAACTCAAAGCTTTGTAGATACTGATATGTTGGCAATGTTTTTTGATCATGAAAGACAACTGGTTTTTTTTGTAAACAAATAAGATCTCTACGAGAGAATCTCCTTTGCTGAAAATGATTATTTCACACTTCAAAACAAGGGTCCTAACATAGAATTTTGAAGTACCAAAAATGTTTTTTCCTGGAGAATTAACCTTACATGTATCTGTAATAAATATCAGACATATTCCTTAGCTAAATGTTACGTATGATGTGCTACTCATCCTGAACAAAGCTAAGCTCCATGGGATTATTCTTTTCAATAAGATCTAGAAGAATGTGATCTATCTTAAATTGTGTATGAAACTTTTCGTTTTACTTCTGAGAATACAAATATTAATAACAGTTTAACAAACTTCTATGATGATGCGCTTTGCTCCCGGGACCTCACTGAGTCCCTCCCCATTTTGCAAGACATTCCATCAAGCAAGAGAAAAACCATACTGTGGCTAATCAGAGCTACGTTTTTGCTGATAGGCAGCAGATGGCTGGCCAAATATCAGTGTAAACCAGCCAAGTTTTGCCTGCTTTTCTTTAATGGGAGCATTAACTGGATCTCTTCTATGCAACTGGCAATTTCTATAACCGTATAGAAGTTTAATGTTTATGCAACTTATTTGTTGCTTTCAAATTTTGTTGAAATTACCTGGTGAATTCAGAAGTTATAAGGGGTGAGTATGTAACAAACAGAGCACTTGTGTCTTTAGCAAACGAAGCTAAATACAGTGCTTTTGTAATTACATTGCTTAAGGCAGGGAAAAGTTGTGCTCCATCACTATGGACAGAAATTGCAGTATAGACTAGCATAAAAATGCAGATAATTATATAAAGTTCTATATTGTTACACGAGTTAGTCCATAATTACTTTTCTCAAAGGTTTTCAAAACTGTAACCTAACATTATCTATTTTCCATATTATTTACATTTACAGAACAGTATGGAGAGAAAAAAAAAATCCTTCATTAGTGTTTTAAAACCCTTGTGGGTCATTTAGAACATCAAGTATTTAGCAACTGTGTTTCCAGTCAAACATTTAGTTCTATAGGAACTTTCCTAGAAATCCAAGACTTTTGATTTAGTTGAGACCGCTTTGTCCTGGGTAATTGCATCTAATAATGGTTGTTGTTTACAAGCCTTGAGATATGCTCGTATCTCAAAATGAGTCACACCCACATGATGGAGTGTTGCTCAATTTATAGAAGAGTTTTGTGAATACTTTCTAGAAAATAAAAAAAAATCTCTAATAGCACAATTAATCACAGAAGTTTTGAGCATCACTTGGTGTAAATACCACTTGTTTTGATCAACAACAGCAGAGCCTATTGTACTTTCTTAGTAGAAGGAGCTGACAACAGCTCTTAACCATGTAAGATACTCAGAAAGTAAGACAAAGAAATTGTGTGGAAGGACAAAACAAATGAACATAGAACGAAGAAAAAGCAAAGGTGAGAACTCAAGCTTTGTAGCTGTGCTAGTCACTGAGAGACTTACATTTCATGATACTAGGAGAAACCTGAATAAGAATGTGTGACATTTTGAAACTAAGATTAGAATGCCATGGTATTTCTTAAATAAGTGCACATCCTAATGCGAAATCGTGATTTTACTGTGTATTGCAGGATGCACAGCAGGAAAGTTAGAATCAGTGTGTTGGCACACCTTTCTCAAGCTGTATGTATACGTGTCTGTATACATTATCTTGTTTCTTATCATTGGACTTGATATAATGTAGTGAACATCAGGTCATGATACAAGCTATATTTATGAATTTTGCATTTTTTATATTCTTATTTCTATTTCTAATTAAAACATCTGCTGCAGAGGTGATGAAAAAGATAGGAAACTGCTGGTTTGTAATAATAAAATAACGTTGGTAGAAAACATGAGTTGAGTAGTTGCAGCCCTACTACTACCATTACTATACCACAGTCAGAGATAAGCCAAACAGGTTTTTGATTCTTTAGAAATGCAAAGCTTTAAGCTTCTGAAAAGGATTATATGGTATAGGTGCATTAGGATGAATGAAAGCAAGGGAAAGGTATGCTTAGACATAAAAATTCCAGTTGCAAAATTTAAACTTTGACCCCGTAATAGTTTGCTCTGCAGTTCTCTTGGGTACATACTGTGTTTAAATGCCTGAATCTTTCCTGTGTAAGTGACTTCTGCTGCAATTTGAATCATCAATCAAAGATTTTTTGGTAATTGATATTACTTAGTGTGTCTCAGTTAAAGTAATGTCTATGTTGTAACAGGCTGAAAATATTCAAGGCTTATTTTAACACACCGAGTGAGTAAAGAACTAATTGGAGCCTTTGCATTTTGACATCAGTGACCCTGAATGAACAGCTTTTCTTTGTATAACGAGGCCGATTATGTGCACAGCCTGGCTTTTGTAGTGACTGTGCATACACTAGTTTGTATTAAGAATTTATAAAACAACCTTATAAATTCTCTCTGATCTGAGATACACGTAATGAAAACAAATCAATATTGCTGACTGCAGTAGTGGTTTTGGTTATGTCTATAAGTTAAGAGTCTTAAAAGTTCAGGAAGTGACTTTTTTCTCTCTTTTTTTTTTTTTCTTTTGAATGAAGTTCTGAACCAGATGTGCCTTCAATATTTGCTTTTGTGGCCTGATGATGTTAATTTCTTTGAATTAAAGAAATTAAGGTTATTTCTAAGCAGCAGTAGGCTTTCCTCCCAAACTGCTTCAAAGTATCTGATTATTACATTTGTGTTTTTAACATTGGGCACGTTTTAATTTTATTCTGTATAAAACAGTTACCTCAGTTGATGCCTAGATAATTTAGATAATGATGCTTTTGATAGATAATAAGCTATATAACTATCTAATAAAATACATTTGGTTTTAATTCTGTCTTCACAACTATGGCTATTAAAAGCCTGTAGCCTATAGGTTCACTTTTAACTCTTAGAATATTTAAAATTAAAATGAGAGTGTAGATTTGAAATTAGGAATGAAACGTTGGGAAGCTTTAAGAAACCATTAACTAGCATTTCTCCCTAGGTGTTTGATACCGCTTCATCCTTGAGCTGTAACTCATTGCAATCCTGGTGATGGAGCATGTTGTGCCCTGGAAGACTTCCCTTGAAGCTTTCTTTTATGATTGTCAATTTACATCTTTCTATGGAAACTTCCTAAACAGCCAGTTTCTGGTTGGCTGTACCATTTAAACCAGAAAAACTGTCTGGTCTGACTTTCTAGAATACTTGCACAAATCCCCAGAAACCTTAAGTAGCCTCCTGGCATCTCTACAATGGGAAGATCTCCTGTCTTAAAAGTTAGTGTAGACAAAATTAAAGCAAAATTATGTCTTATCACTGTAAAAAATTAATCTTTGAAATAAATTCATTCAGTGGAAGAAAGTCTTATTTTGCATTTAGAAAGCACTGTTTGTATCTTTTCTTGCCTATCAGAAAATAAGTAGAATCGTGAAAGCATAGCACAAAAAGCAGTATTGGACTGTTAACAGAAAAGTATATTAAAAAAAAAATAATCAGACATATCAGGTGCATAAAGACTGTTTAGAATTGTAAACACAGAATTAGAAATTCCATTAATATCGATTTATCTCTTGCCCAGGTTTTTAATTGTCATGTTAGTCTCAAATAATGGAAACATATATTCTGTCCTCTTTTTTTAACTTTTGTTATTTAATTCCTCTAATTTTACTTGCCTTATCTACACAGTGTTACCCAGTAGGGCCCGCTGAGAAGCCAACTCAGGCTGCCTTGAAATTTCCAAGGAAGACAGGATTTTCATTGTAAACTTTTAAAATATTTTCTTTTCTTCAGGCACCCAACATATTAAGACTGTTTCCTGCCGAAACATTATTAAGTCAGAAAAGAATACCAAAGTAGGACACTTCTGATCTAATTGATTTCTTTTGTCCTAGTGGTAGAAAAACTCACTCTGTGTTACTGTCTCTGTAGAGATGAACAGCAAACAAAGAAGCCTTTAGTTTTGGCTCTGTTTAATAGACAAGCGGAGGAATAAATGTTAGCTGAGTACAATACTAAATCTTTATGGGAGGAAGAAAGGCTTGTTAAGCTATAAACTATTTGGTAAAATGAACTGTAAAAAGGAATTATCAATATTTATCTGTCAGAATCTTTAATTTTTATATTTATTTTTTTAACGATGTTTTGCAACAATCATCTGCCCGACAGAGAAGAAAATTAGTCTGTAAGGAACTAAGGAAGCCTTATGTCCTATTGATTTCTGTCCTATGCCTTGTATTTTCAGCTCTTTTCTCACTCTGTTTCCTGTGGCATACTTATCAGGCAAGAGGCAACATGGCTAATTCAGAGTTGCAGAGTCACTGGCCAGCAAGTATTTGTGTGCTGATTGTTGGGTTCACTACTGCCAAACAGAGCACTGTTTTGAGTCATCTTTATCTTCCCAGTACGAATTTTCATAATCACTGGAGAAAATGTGCTGTTTGCCCCAAAGGAGGTCAGGAGGAGTCAGCTTAGGCACACAGGCAGACAGACAACACAAATGCCTACAGCTCGCCTAGTTGGGAAGCCAGGGTCTCCTGGGAATCACAGTAGATTGCTCAAATTTGCCCATGGTGTTGGGCTCTGTTTTAATTCACTGTATTTTGTTGTCTGACCTATTTGCTGTAGTGTATTTGATTGTAATTATAATGAGGTGATTATAGTCTTCATTTATCACTGAAACTAGATTTCTTTTACCTCCTTTGTTTTTATGCTGTCTGATCCTGTTCAGATATTAAGCTCTGTCTGTGGGTGTGTGTAGTAGATGCGAGTAGGAGAAGAGACGCTTTCTTTTAGTGGAATTAAATTTTGAAGATTAGAATTCAGCAGGTTTATTTTTCCTTATCTTTTCATAAAGACTTTCATTAATCCTACCATAATATCTCCAGAAGGTGACTGGAGGAATATGCACTTTGATTAATGTTTATTTAATGCGGGATTATCTCTATTATTCATGTGTTTTATTCACATTAAAACTATGCCTATCAGCTCATTTTCATGTTGAGTAATCAGATATAGTTGAATAAGGAAGGTGAGAATTAGTGGACTGAGTGACTTTTTCAGCACAGTGAAGGGCAGAACAAATACAATGTACAGTACACTGTGTCTTTTCCAATATTTCTCTGAGTTACAGTGGTCACACAGTGTAGTAACCATCCCTTTTTCGTTGGAAAGCTTTGATGTTTCTTGCAAGTCTTCCTAATTTCTACAATTAGGTTGCAGTCTTCTTGTGCCACATCTGAACAATTTGCCAGGCATCTTTGCTTCATGAGTGAGGGCAGATAAAACTAAGGAAAACTTTTAAGTTTATATTTCAAGAGAATTTGTGGAGAACTAATTAGTGTTTATCAAATATAGATCTTAAGACTGAAAGATGTCTTATGCACTTCAAGTGTTTTTTTTCTTCTATATAGTACAGACAATATTGTAGCCAAGACCAGAGATTATGTGAGAATGCAGTTTGTTAGAAAAAATACAGTCAGCATTTGAGACTGTGTAAAACATTAGAGGAGAAATCAGAAATGCCACATAAAAGAACACTGATCTGCCTTTAGGAAGAAGTGTGCTCTAATTCTGCATTTTGTCTTGTAGGTACATCATCCCAGCTTTGCGGAGGTCTGACGCTGGTTTTTATCAGTGTGTCGTACGGAACAGGATGGGGGCGTTGCTGCAAAGAAGATCTGAAGTTCAAGTGGCATGTATGTTTGAATGGAAGTTACTCTGAGATTCATTAGCTGATTCTTTTTGTGGGTAAAAACACAATATGCCAATAACATTTGCTAGTCTGAAAAGTTATTACATATAGTATTTAATAAATTTTAAAATTGTTGCATCACAAGAAGTTTCACGCTTACTCTAGTCTTCTGGGAAACAGTTCAAAGTGGTGCAACATTAAATCTTTAGAGCAAGCTTTGAGCCATTCAAAGCCATCAAAATGAGATCATTTGGAGATAGCTGTAGCATGAGAAAACTATTATACCTTTCCCTGAATATGCAGGGATTAAGAAAGCCCATATAGCGCAAAAGAAACAATCAATCAAAAAAACTACCAAAAAAAAAAAAAAGCCCAGAGGACAGCAGAGGGTATCTGGAAGAAAACTTAACTCTAATTTTCTTTTTTTTCAGTTAATTTATAGAAAATATACTCCAAATAACTTGTATGGAAATAATAACAAAATTAAGCCTTGTTCTTTTTTCTAAGTAAAAACATTAAAAAATAAAAAAAGATAAACTTGTATACTGTGAGTAAGAAATCTGATACGTGGATGAAATTTCTCTTCCTCAGGGTCAATAACTGGAAATTCAGTAGTAGTAAATGTCACTTGATAAGTAGAATTTGGATAAATTGAATTATTTGTTAGAAGCCCAATTCCAAGGAACTGATTTCAATTAATCACTGTGTCATGAGGGAAATTCCATGTAATTTCCTGTGTTTTATGATAAATACAGTTGCAAACGATACTGTGTAAGTTTTGGTATCGTGTTCACCACTTTACTGTATTACAGTAAATTATGTTACTATATCTGTGATGTCAGTAATAGCAGTAATTTGATGTTTTAATCTCAGTGATATTGTTCCAGAGATGCTGGGAGCTTACATAAAACTATACTGCTGCTAAAATGGGGATTTCCTTCCCTGCCTTCTGCCAGCCCTTTTGCTCCTGCTGGATACTCTTCCTAGTGATCTTGTGCCACTCTGACATGTGTCAGACCCCTGCGAGCACCTTTGGGAATATTCTTCTTCTGTTCTAGTGAATTACGTCAGGTCACAGAGGATCTGGTGAAAGCTGGTGCGAGAGAGTGTAGCTGAGGGGTGAGGGGACCTCCAACAAGGTTAGAAGGGGAAGATGGAGCAGGAGAAAGTGAGGGTGAGATGCTGCTTGTTCAGCAGCAGTGAGCCATTAGATTAGCCTGGATGCCTCTGGAATTGCATCTCCAGGTGTGGTTTCAGAGGACGAAGGCTTTGGTAGCAGTACCAGAGAAACCTGCCCATTTTCTCTTCCGTCCCACTAATGGTTCCCACTCTTGTATTGCAATGTCGCACGCTATCCCTTTAGGCTCATTTGTACAGCTGCAGACTAGGAAACTCCTCCAAAATTAAAAAAAACCCCAACAGTTATTTTGTAGGGTTTGTCAAAAGAGTTCTTTTCCCCTCCTGCCCGATTCCCTCCACAGCTGTACAGGCAGCTGTACTGGCGTAGTGGAGGGAGCAATCCTGGAGGAAGTACTTGTGGGAATGGTAGTGAGAAGGAGGCGCAGGAATACTTTACCTTGATACTCCTGAAAAGACAGCTTTATTCCCCTCTGAATGAGGGAAAGATTTGCAGCGAAGTGTTTTGTTTCTCCAGGCTTTTTTGTGTGTGCATTTGGTTGTTCTTGCGAGAGAAAGAAGTGTAATTGTTTACTTTTCTTCAGTTTTGTTTTTTCCCCCATTTATTATGTAGTTCTGCATTGCTGAACAAGGCTAAAATGCTCTCTCTTAAGACTTCTCTGTCTGAATTGAGCTGACTACTTATTTATGTATTTATTTTCACTGATAAAGGCATTGAGACAAAGAAAAGCAGATCTTAGATGACTTGGGAGACCTTTGGTCTTGAACCTATAGTGACATGTATGGCTCCTATAGTGAAACTCATCAGTCAATCTTTCACTCTATTCCTGCAGATGAAATTGTTCTATGAGTTTTAAATATCCTCTTCTCCTCTACCCAGCGTATCTACTGGTACCATGTGATTGTTTTCTGTATTTTAACTTTTTCGATCTAGATTAATTGATTTAAGCTGTGAAGTACCTGTTATTTTACCATATTTTACTTTTTGATTATTCTTGAAAACATATCAGGATACAACATTCCAAGGAGTTACTAAAGTAATCTCATCCAGTCATCAAGAGTTATGGGGAACTGTATGTTAGATGTTTCACTCAGAAGAGTTCACCAGAAATGAACTATTTTTGCCACTGGACAGAGGATGCTTCCCATTACACGTAAACTCAAGATCTCTAGTGAAAAATTGAAAGGCACAATTATAATGTGCACTGAGGAAGATCTGAGGTGTTTTCCGTGTCCTAGATCTCCAAAGTAGCAGGGAACTTGTTAAATAATTTAAAAAAATGTTCTCAACACATGCTCACATATTATTTAACTGAATGGGAACAGATATTTGTGAGAAAACTGCTGAGTAAATCTTAATTACAGAATGGGCTCAAAAACTCTTGGATTGTGAAGACTAAAATAATCATATGACAGTGAAGTTAATTAGATCCACCTACGCGGTTTGAAACTTCTTTTCAAGTAGATGATCTGATTACAGTTGTAAGAAATATGGAGCAACAGAGGAAGTACAATGCTGATTATGACTGAATAAATAACTTGAAAATCACAAAGATGATTAAAGCTTCTTTAGAATACCATGTGTTTTTAATTTTGCTCTTGTTCTGTCTCTTCTCATCTCCTGCTATCCACAGACCTGACAGTAGTCTTCTGTGTTTCAATGTCCTTTGCATTCCTCTTTGCAGCAGAGAACTTGTAAAGAACCCTGTGGTCCTTAAAAAAAAAAAAAACAAACAAAAAAAACAACCCCAAAAAATTAATTCAGTTGCAGGAAAAAACAGAAGGGTTTTGTGTGTGTCAGTTTCTTGGCTTACAGTAAATTAAAACGTATAGAAATTCTTTGGAGGTTGAGTAAGTAGGAGCCTACAGCCCTGTTTATTTTAATGGATAGGAATGGGATACAAAAGGCAAAAGAAAAACAAGAAGAAAATGTTCACTGAATTTTTACAAGGACTCCATAGATATGTGAACTTGTCTGAAATAAAACCTTCAGAGACAATTCTGCAACTGTACTTTTCTTTCTTCCATTAAAATTTCTGTTAAAAGCTGCTCTTTAATACTACTGATGCCTTTGTGAATGTCACAGGTCTCGATGCACTATTTAGATGATAGCATCGTGCCAGAAGAACTAATAGCTGCCAACATGACTGTAGCCTTGTTATTTTGGCATCCTTTTGCGTGTAATGGCTTACTGGTATAGGTCTGACTATACATTGGTTTGACTACAAGTGATACAGCTGCTTGTCTACTTGTGCAGCTGTGGATAAAAGGATAAAAATGATAAAATTATATATACCATTTGCATTCCTCTGCATTGTACAGGTATTCATTTTATATTGTGCAAGGATTTATCTAAAAAAAACAACAAAACAAACCAAATCTCCATTAAAATATCCCTTTCAGTTAAAAATAGTCAGTTATTGCAGAAGACCACTGAGGCCATGCAGTAGTGCTGCTGATGCACTTGTGTGCAGTAGCAACGCTTGGCCATGCCTTGTGTTTATCCAAATCTATATTAATCGTCACACTCTCGTGATCTGTAGTGTCATATGGACTAATTATAGCAATGCCAGTGACTATTGTAAAGCAGAGTTATTTCTCTGTCCGCTGAAAAGAAATGGGGAGAGAGACAACAACTTCCAGGACTCTTAGTATAATTTTTTCTTTGCAGACATGGAGAATTTCATGGACACAAACCAGAGAAAAACAGTGACCGAAGGACAAGCTGCAGTCCTAAACTTCCCACACATACTCAGCTATCCAAGACCACAAGTGACATGGTTTAGAGACGGGCACAAGATTATACCAAGCAGCAGAATGTAAGTCAATTTAAAGCTCAAAATACCCCACTCTAAAATATGATGAATTGCATTTGATAACGCAACTTACATTTTAAGTACACTAATTAAGGTTTAAAGAGAATAAAGTAGCCTTGTTCATAGTAAGTTTGAGATAAATGATTATTTTAAGACCATCTCTGAACTTCCTAAGCAGTTTGACAAAATAATTCATGTGATTTTAATGGTCCTGGTGCAGCATAAGGGAGTAGATACGCAGAATGTCTGCACTTCCTTCACGCTATTCATTTTCATGATGTATTTTGGAAAAGTAAATGCTGATCTCTCAGTTACGTTTACTTGAGTGGACTAACTTAATGAATACTGGGATTTTTCCTTTTTAATATATAAGTCTGATTTTTTTTTTTTTGCATGGAGTTATGCTTAGTACTATTTTCCTCTTGATAAAGTTCTAAATATTGCTTATTTTTCCCTTACCTTTTTAGCCTACATTGAGAGTTTTATTACTTTTCGACAAATTAGCAGCTCACCCACTAATGGCACAGTACTTGCACTTTGATTAGTTATTATCTCAAGGTGTGCTCATTTATCCTTTCCTGAAACAGTTATGAAGCCATCCTGTGTTTTTTACCGGCACCGTTTTATTTAGAGGCTGAAGGGGTTAGCTGTAACATTAAAAAAATGTAGATAAAATCTTTTTTGCTTGCCTGATTTATTAGGAAACTGTTGAAATGCCAGGAATGTTGGTGGTTATTTTTATCTGTGTATTATATTTTCCTGCGTTCAAAGGCATAAATGTGCTAGCAACTGATGGTAATGGGATATTGCTAAGTTCCAGAAGGGATGGTGAGTCTTTAGAGTTTATATTAGAAAGAGAAAACTCTTCTTGGATTTTAATTTTATTAATCCATACTGTATATTTTACTGCTGCTAATGTGCATTGTTTTAAACCTGAAAGCTAGTATTACAGGCTCTTTGAAACTGTTAAAATTAGTATTGCAGGAATGTGAAGCAACTGTGTAATAATTTATGAATAATTTAATAGTAATTTGGTGGGAAACAAGCTGGAAGATGAAACAATGGGTTTCTGGGCAATCTCTTGAAGAGAGCTAAGTGACAAATCCTGAGTTATTAACCATTAAGAATCTACTCCCTCCACTCCTGCCACATTACAAATTTTCTTTTGTCGATGCTGAGAATGCACAAATCAAAAATTTGCAGGTGGTGGAAAAGACTTCTTATCGAGGTGTCAGACAATTTCTTGAGGACTATTACTGGGGAACGGAACAGGGCAACCTAGGCAAGCATGCAGTGTCTGAAAATGAGATTTGTGTGAGTTCTCTTACAGTTTCGGAAAATTGCAATTGTATTCATTAATATAAAATCCTAATATTCATACGCTGTGCTTTACTCTTACTTCTATCCTGTTGGGATTGTTAGGGAAAAATCACTTGTAATTCATAGCACTGTAGTAATGCTTACAAATGAGAAAACTGCAAAACTCTGCTCTTCAGTAGGGGTCAAATATACCTAAAGGCTTCCACATATATTTTATTTCCCTGGTCAGAAATTTTATCTGAAAGGAATTTGAGGACATTTGTCTGGTCTGCGTTTGAAAACTTTTGCAGTAGAAGTACACATGCTGAAAGAGTGAACCTCCTTGGAAGTTTGATATATATGGAATGGTAAGCCTGATAAGTTCAGGAAGTGACAGATTTATGGTACACATACCAGTCATCAGTGCACTCTGTGCAGTAGGTCTGCTGCTCCCTCAAAGAAAAGCCATATAGCATCCAGTCACATATTGCTCTCTGTGAAATTCTGGAAGTAAATATGGCAACCCTAAAAATACAGGAGAGGATGCATAAAACTGTGAGAAATGTAAAAATATCTTATGGGAACTCTGTTTCTTATCTGTGGAGCAGTTCATGCATTTAACATCATGTTTTCCGTACACAAAGAGGTGTATCAATTTAACTGATCAGTTTAGCAGATGATCCAGTTAGACAGATGCCTCAATCTAACTGGATCACCTGCTAAACTGATCAGTTAAATTGATGCAACCACCTTGTATGGATGCTCTTTAAACTGATTAAAAGTACCTTATATTGCTAAATCAATAGAAAGCTTTTTTAATCCTCTTAAACAAGCTTACAATGATTTGGCCAAATCAATCAGCTAGTGTGTCAGCTGTAACAATGATTGCTAATAGTGCCGTGCAGCGTGTGCAGGCTGAGGAAATGAGCAGTGCTAAAAAGGAGGGCAGTAGCAGTGGTTATGGTACCCAGTAATTTCTCATCAGTACCTGTTGAATACAGATGAAGTTGGCATTGCCCAATATTTTATCAGTAGCCACTTTTAAGTAAACAATTCATTTAAATAGTTGGTCAAGTTAACTCTTACTCATGCAAAAGCCTTAGTGTACACATACTTAACACGGCACCGTTTTTATGCCGTAATTATGATCCTGATGCTTATTTACCCAGGGCTACTGGCACCACTAGAATGAATTCCTTTCACTGATATGGAAACAGAGAGTGTGCTGAGTTGTCCTTATGTGAGAAATAGGAAAGATCAAAAGTAAGGAATAGTTTTGAGAAAAAAAATAATTCTTAAGGTCTTTCAAGGAACGTCATTTAATTGGCTCTGCAGTAGGGTTTGCCTAGCAGGTTTAAGGTAGTGAATGCTGATGTCTTTCCCTTTCACTGTTTGCCCATATTTAGGACGTTTATGGGAAGGGGTTCTGCCAGCTATTCGGGATTCCAGTAGTAGTGTTTCTTAGCGAGGGAGCTAAGATAACAGAATTGCTGAATTGTCAAAAAATTCTGGTATCACCATATGTATTATTTTAAAGATACTTTACAATATGTCAGATAAGACACAGTACTCTGGGTGGGGGTCTCACCGGAGCAGATATTCCTGAATTCTGATGACCAGGTGTAACAAACCTGTAGTTTCCTGTTTCTCTTACTGGTCATTAGGCTGAAAAGTGATAATTGTTTAGACTGGGGGTAAAAAAAAAAAAAAAGTTTCAGTGTATAGGTTAGGTTTCATGTTTTTTTAGTCAGAATGGTAATCCTACTCTGTGAGCGTGCCTGGCTCTGATATTTTCTGGGTGAAAGTTTTCTTTGAGACATAGGCAATTTTTTTCAAACTACATATTCTCTTTAATTTAACTGGTAGTATAACTCATGGTGGAATTTTGCAGCAAATAACTATGTATTAATTCCCATTTTGGTGGTGTTGGTGCCATAGTATTTTGTTAAAGCCCCCAGATAAAACCAAGAATAACATGACAAGTTCCTCCTAAATGAGTGGGCATGTAAAGTCAACAAACCCCTGTATAATGTATGAATGTGAAGCAAATGGCCTGAATATACTCGTGGGGTTGTTGTTATAGTTTCTGACTGAAGGCAACTAACAAATCTGCAGCAGAGCTAGTGCGACATGATGGTGCGTGTTTAAAAATTTAAGTCCTAAAATTTTCTCCTCCTCTCCTTAGTACAGTGCGCGTGTGTACTCATTTTGGCTTTTATGTCACCAAAGCTCCAGCTTGGTATTTTGAAGATGCGTTTCCAAATCATCAGAAGGAAGAAGCTGTGTACATGCTAGAAAAGTATAAAGTGGAGAATCAAAGAGAAGACCAAAAGATCAATACCGAGGGAAAATAAGCAAGGAGAGGAATTAGAATTTGGGATGCTTTTTGTTATTATCTTACCTGAAAATTTCCCAAATAGTTTTTTAGAAAAGACTTCGTGTTACACCTAGACGGATTAATGGTTTCCAAATATACCAGTAGAGTAACGTGAATTATAACTGCACTGTTATCCAAGGTCTTGACTGATGGGATCATTTTGCCTGTTTCTTCTCACATCCTGCAGAAAACAATAGCCTCTCTAAAGGTAACTACATCAAAAGAAATTACTACTCTTGAGATGTCAAGTCTTCATCTTGCCGTGCTTGAGTGTACTGCATCAGACTTAAAAGCAGAGCATATTTGACTTTCTTCACACGAGGCACGTACAGTACCTTGGAGAGGCGCAAAGGGTAGTTACACCATCGAGGTCTACAATTGCCTTTCAGTTGTGGTATTGAGGAATTAGTACTCTTAGAGGATTTTTTTTTTTACCTTTTTCTAAGTGAAGGACTTTTTCGACTGAAAAGGTTCACTCTAGCCATTTTCTCTTTAGCCATTAATTTGTTTATGGCTGGTTTCTTCTTTAAGAAGGAAACTTCTACTATGAAGGTGGGATTACTGTCTTCAGTAACTTCCTTACAGTGAAATGATATTTTTCCCCTAGTAAGCTGCACTTAGATGAATATTAACTCATGTCTTTTTTCAGTGGAATTATGTCTGACACAAAAAAGGAAAGTTCCTTTTTGGCATATAAGGGCACTCCTGGGGTGTCCCTTTCAGCTGGGTGGACAGTTTGGCACTTAGTTAACTGTTAAGGAACCAAAACACTTGACAAATGCACTTCATTCCACTAGACAGGGAAGATGAATTGCCTTGCCTTTAGGTATACATGAGTTTAATATCTATTTTTTGCAGTAAAGGCAATTCATTGTGCATTTGAATGTGTGTGGTCGTTACTAACTCTTACAGAGATGAAACGTGCTGACAGATTGTGAAATGAAAATACGTTAGACACAAGCAACTGTCAAATATGACTTGCTGGGGTTTTGAATACTCATAATGCCTTGCAGATAAGCAAAGCTGGTGTAGATTTACTAGCAATTTGTTGAGGTAAAATTGTAACTATATTAATGACAGTCTAAAAAAAAAAAGTGACTGTAGCTAAATAGGTGCTAAAAGATGAGAAAAAATATCTAGGAATAATACATCAGATTTTTGGCTAATATTAGCATTATATTAGGTTTTGCTTTGATGATGGCAACTCACTTAATGTGCCGTGTATACATTTTTCACTTTAAAACAAATACCACTTTGTGTTATATGAGCAGTTCTAGTGCCAGCAACACGTTTATCTAGAAATACTAGCCTGTCATACGACTTACAT